GACGTCTTGTCACTATTATTACATTTTTTTAAATTCAGTCTGCTTGGAGTCCCTTTGAGCAACACACTCTTATTTGGTAAAATTTTAGTAAAGCTTTGCTTGAACAAATAATTAGAGTTCGGAGCTTCGTTTTCACCTCATTGGTGATGAAATGTACATCACTCAAATGCAACCAATGTAAAAAGGAAGGCATACTCACCAGCAGTTTCTGCAGCGTATCCTCAAGCAGGCATGATCGAGGCCACAGAATCTATTTTTACACACTTGAATACAAGTGTTCCTCGAAACTTTGGTGCGCTCTGGGCAAAAAAAGTTTGAAAACCATTGTTGAATGGTATCCAGTGTCATACCAGACACCAGAATTCATCACTACTGCAAAAGGGTCCTATGTTTCAGTACAGGCTTCTATAGGAAGTCAGTATAAAAAGAACTTGAGTGCTGTTGTCCTTTATGTCTGTTACAGTCTGCTCTTGTAAAGCTGGGTAATTTTAGTCATCTTAAATTCTTCCAGTAGGCCAACAATGCAGGAAAATCTGATCCTTTCCTTTTGCTATTCAGACTCTTTTGTGAACATGTGTTCACTCGATACTCACACGGGATAACAAAAAATCAAAGTAGCACATGACTCGCTCGGGGAAAGTAGGAATCCCTTTTCTCGGGGTCAGTGTGGCTTCGTAGCCTCAATATAAACTTCTTAGGTGAGCATAGCACTGTTGTTACACTGTTAATGACACTTTCTGTGGCTTTAGATTAGCAGCATTAGTGTGACTAACCCTTGTTCGCTCCTGTGTTACAGAAGACCCCGATGTAAGGACTAGGAAGATTGTGAAAGTCGTCACTCAAACAATGATCAATGGCAAAGTAGTCAATGAGTCCAGCGAGGTGGAGGAGATCGAGGACCGCAAAAAATGAACCAAAGTGCATCAGTACGGAAGCAATGTTTCATAAAGCATTAGCTGACTGTGGATCAAATTATTGTTTTCTTTATTTTCTTTATTTAATCACAGCTAATATTAGCCCTGTCAGGTTTAAATAATGGCTCCAGCTGTGACCATACACCTGTATTTTGGAGATATATAAAAAGATCTTCTTTCCTATATAATAGTCTTACATAAAAAGTTTATACACATCATTTAAAATGACTTTTTTGTTCCCACGATTGCAAAGAATATGAAAAAAGAAGCAAAAATGGCATATTCTTCTACCGTGGGGTTAGGGTTGTGGTGATCAGTAGTGATGAATAAGACATCACAAGGTCACTGTTATTGTCAGTGTATTGGAACAAGGCTGACCAGATTCTTCTTCTTCAATACTAAAATAAGTCTGGCTAAAGATTTATAATTGCTTCCACACTTTTGAGGGTTACAGTCAGTTTAGAAAATGATGCACTGTGATGGTCTTTGTTGTGCTTTTCAGTCTTTAATTCAAATCCATGAAGTTTAATTTTCTTAAAATGTCTTTGAAAAGGTCAACCCATTTTTAATGCAACTTCTCGTCACTATTTTCTAAAATAAAATGGAATTACTGATATATCCTAGTTCTGCAGCATGAAAGATTTTCACATATTTTTAGAAATTATTAATTAAGACCCAGTTATGTAAATAATATCCATAAAATGTTCTTTTTCCAGTATCATCACAGGTGGCAAAAGTATTCTTTATGTAAATAGAAGTACAGAGAAACCTGTGTTTAAAAAGTACTCCGGTAAAAGCTGAAGTACTCAAAAGTGAAAAATACAGGCTCTGAGATGTACTAAAAGTACTTATAGAGGATATTTCTACCAGTTAGCTTTTTGTGCAAAGCTAACTGAAGCTTGTAATAATAATAATAATAATAATAATAATAATAATAATAATAATAATAAAAGTATAAAATTATGTTAGTATGTGAGACTACAAACAAAATTCCAATCTGTATTCCAATTCTAATGAATGTAGTCAGCTTGAATCTGTTATGTAGGAGACATCATCATCTGCCTAAAATCAAATTTGCCACACTGGATGTAACCCAATTTGACCACGAACACAATAGTCACTGGGCACTGGTCCAACACACTGCCTCACTGTAAATCCATCAGCGTAACTCTCTGAAAAATCTCTGAATTAGTTAGTTTACCTCAGTGTGTTTTGCAGGATGTTTCAAAATTTATCAGAACACATCATAAACGGACCCGCTGTTTGATTAAAAAATGATAGTATAAAACATGATAGTAACAGTTTACAGTTTTCAAATATCACTGAGCAGTCCTTACCTTTAAATATAACCCCTCTTCTTCCTCTTCTGTCCTGTCTTTCTTACGTCGTTCTCCATCTCTGGGCAGCTTTAGCTAACACACACACTGCCCGCAAACAGTTTGTGTTGATATTTGTTGAGCTGTTAGAAAAGTTTCTTTTG